TACCGTAACAATGCCCGTGCGGAAGTGACACAGCACAGGGTATCGAGGAAGTCGAAGAATGGAACGAATACGACGAGATACATGAAGCTCTGGGCATAACAGAGACTTTTACACCATTCCCGCCGAAGCCCCACGCGATGTTCGAGTCTGCTGCTCCACCTGCCACCACCAAGCCTACTACAGCTACTACCACTACCAACACCACCACTGCTGCAGCTGCAAAGAAGGAGAATCTTCCACCACCAAGCGCAGAAGCGAATCTGGCGATTCGGCAGATGGGCGCTGAGGCTGCGAGGATCGCAGCGGCGAAGAAACAGCCACCGGCGAATATCAAGATAACGAATCCACTGTTGAGTGAGAAGACAAACACGCCCAGTGACTTTCTGACACCAGACATACTGTCTCCGAAATCAGTACCGCTTCCAATGACGCCGTTTGCCTTGACCCCAGCTGCTCTCTCGCCAGCTACATCGACGCCCAAATTGAAGACCTCGAATATAACGAAGGAAACAAAAGATACAAAGGTTGCAGAAGAGGTGAATACGGATGTTGGAAAGGAGGTAGAAAAGCAGAAGGATATCGATGACAACACAGAGTCGAGAACAGATGCTGAGGAAAAAGATCAGGCCGAGGTCGAAGCTGCCATTAATACAGAAGTCGAGAGGAAGCCTGAAGGAGCGAAAAACAAATTGGTGGAAGCTAAGAAGGAGAGCAGTAAGGATGCAAAGAAAGATGTCAAGAAGGTTTCCAGCAAAGACACCAAAAAAGTCACAACCAAAGACACTGGCAAGGAAGCCAAAAAGGAAACTGGCAAGAGCGTGAAGAAAGATACGAGCACCAAGGATGTGAAGAAGACTGCGACGACGACTAAGGACGTAAAGAAGGACGCCACCAAAGACGTAAAGAAAGACAGTACTAGCAAAGCCACCAAGAAGGATACCAAGAAGCCGACTATCATGGGTCTTCTCGCAACGAAGAACACCACAACGAAGAAGTCTAGCACAGCTGCTAAGACAAGCGCAAAATCGGAGGTCAAGAAGAGCACAAGGAAGGAAACTAGAAAACCGCCTGTACCCAAGCTTTCCGATCTACAGAAACCAGTTCATGCGCCTGCACGAATCAAAGCTGGCAAAGAAAACCCAGAGCTGAGCAAGCCCCCGAAAACGACGCAGAAAGAGTCCAAGTCTTCCAAGGACGCCCCTGAAAAAGAGAAAGAAGACTTGGCAGGGGAGTCTGTCGAGGAGTCTGAGGCTGTAGCGTTGACAAGCACAGAGGAAGCAAAGGCTGTAGACGATGCAGCAGCAACAGCGGAAAGTTCAGAAGCAGAGAGTAGCGAAGAGGAATCTGACGAAGAAGAAGAGTCAGATGAAGAAGAAGAGGAGGAGGAGGAGACTGCAGATTCAAAAGTAGTACCGGGAAGCGCAAAGGACATTGCCATGGAAGATACACCAGAAGAGAGCAGTGAGGAAGAGGGCGGTGAAGAAGAAGATGAGGAGGAGGAAGGGGAAGATTCTTCGGAGGAAGAAGAGGCTGAAGTGAAGGAAGAAGAAGAAGCGGAGAAGCCAGCTGTTGGCAAAGCCAAAGAAGCCACCAAGAAGCAAGACACAAAATCACCAGTCGAGGCAACGGTGGGTGCAAAGGGAAAGAAAGGCGGGAAGTAAGTCGATGTGTGGATCAAGGAGGATGAGAACGTGTACATAGACGGCTGTTTGTATTGATAATAGAGTGAGGAGTTTAATCCATCAGGTTACTTGTTACCAGTCACATTAGGTTCGTGGTCGTGATACAGTTGTTATTGTCCTATTGTGCATGGTCATGGGCCACACTCCAGGGCAGACTGCTTAGCATGATATTGCGCACAGTTAGAGAGTATGACTTATGTACACGAAGATTTGGGATGCTAGGCAGTGGAACTACGCTAATAGGACCGGTCTTACATGTTTGATACCTTAACTGCACATGCACTTGGTTCGCATGATGTTGGACTTGTTGTTTGCAAGCGGTAGGGAAGAGCAAACGCCCCCGTAGTGGGTCCTGGTGTCCGGGTCCAAGCGTCACGGGAAACGCGAAAGCGTGAGACGCGTAAAGTGGCATACCGGTAGTGAATCTTTTTTGGCCTTGCCCGCCACAAGCTCGCTACCTTGCTACTTTCCTCTCCTTCTTCCCTTTCTTTGACACGCGCGAACTACCACCAGGAGGGCAAGCATGCCTATTGCTTTGTCAACGACGGAATTTCTTTGTCTGTCTGCTTAATCCATTGTGGCCCTATAGCGGCACCCTACCTACCTTTATGCCCGGTGGAATACTGTCATCGCACATACATTCCGTTCTGTCTGCCTGCTCCGCTCCAACCCTATACCGACCTTCGACCGCGTCCTATACACAATGTACCGCCGCGATCCGATAGTTTCGTCTTCACCACCTCCCGCCGCGCTACAACAGTATTCGGATAGCGAAGACGACGCCACCCAGCCCACACAAATTCTGGATTCGCGCTCGCCCTCTGTCGCCGCCCCGTTTGCTAGCACCCAGCCAACGCTCCTCCTCACCCCACGCGCAGACCGCGCCAAGCTGCGCGAGTGCTCCCCGCAATTACAGGTCCAACGTTCCTCTCCTGCTCCTGAGCGCTATTCGTCGCCAGGCATGTCGCAGTCACATTCGCAAAGGCCTGCTGGGCACTACAGCAACCCAATGGCACCGCCAGGCACATCGTTCTTCCCTCCACAAGCTGTTCGCAAGCCAGTCTACGACCTCACCTCGGACGATCCGCCCGTTGAACCTGACCCAGATGAGGAGGTTTCCGAGTTTAGATCGAATATTCCGCTGTCAAAGGTGGAGCTGAATGCGCGCACTTCGAGGGTGGAGGAGACGCCGCAGAAGCCCATATTTGATCTATCAGCTTACATCTACGACGAAAGCAACACTCACACTCGCAAACGACCGGCCACAGACGAATATGGTTTCGGTATCTCAGCCAAGAAGCAAAAGCCCGTGCAGCGACAAGGCGGTCCGTCACGCGCGATGCCTGTGGATCTGACTGGAGAAGATGATATGACTCTATCGGACATTGCTGACTTTGTCATGAAGCGCAAGACGATGCGTTTGCAAGTAATCTACCCAAACAGGCCGGTCAAAGAAATATATGAGGCCTTGGTCAAGAAGAAGGGTCACTTTGAAGATGCGTCTGCGTACTTGGCCGACCAAGACTCAGATGATGAACTTCTTCACTCGCCGAAGCTTGGTGTCGCGCAGAGCAATGCCAACCCTGCGGTGAAGAAGACGGCGCAGCGCACGCTCCAACAGCCTGTAATGTCATTGCAGGAGAAGTACTCGCGGTTGGCACCTACTCAGAACACCACCGCCGCAAGTCCTGAAAAGCCACCAAAACAGAAACGCCGTCTGATTCGCGGACGCAAGCCTTCACCAGCTTCGCCCACAAACACACCCCCACGACCACAACCACAGTCCAAAAAGCAAGCCCCAGTAGTCATATCCGATGATGAAGATGAGGGCATTGCTGCGTTCGACGACGATGACGGTTCGTCGGCGGGAGGTTCGGTTAGGGAACACAAATTCGAGGCTGATAGCTTGCTGGACTTTTTCAATACATGCACAGTGGAAGCTATGGTTGACTTGTCCGGTCACAAGGTTGAGGAAGTGCGGGAGGTTCTCGACCAGCGCCCGTTCACCTCGCTCGAAGCCGTTCGGCAGATCCACGTTGATCTAGCACAGAAGGAGTCGAAGAAGAAGCCTCGGAAACCGAGAATTACATTTGGTGCACGGCTTGTAGAAGCTGCAGAAGACATGTGGGACGCATACTCGACCATTGACTCTGTGGTCAAGCAGTGCGAGGTACTCGGAAAACCCATGGTTGCTGGTATGGCACGATGGGGTATTGACATCTTCGGTGCTTCGACCGACGATGGTGGTGTTGATATCACAGCCCTAGACGATACAAGCGACACCAGCTCTTCGCGTGATTCGGGTTATCATACACCACGAAGCCCACCTGGCAGTGACACAGAGGCAAAAATTGTGCACAAGGCAGCGAATCGCACCAAGCTGCTCAAGCAACCAGCGATTATGAACGATGATATCGAGTTGAAGGACTATCAGGTGGTTGGCTTGAACTGGCTGAATCTCTTGTGGCAGACAGGTACCTCTGGCATTCTGGCCGATGACATGGGGCTGGGCAAGACTTGTCAAGTCATTGCATTCCTGTCACATTTGAAAGAGCAGGGTGTGGGCAAGCCGGCGCTCATCGTAGTGCCGGGGTCTACTCTGGAGAATTGGTGTCGAGAGTTTGAGCGCTTTTCCAGCAGCATCACCTTCACGCCTTACTACGGCTCGCAGGCGGGTCGTTTCGAGCACCAGGAGACCATTTTGCACAACATCAGCCAGGACCATTGCGACGTGATCATAACGACGTACGACTTGACTTTTCGCAAAGAGGACAATGCGTTCTTGCGCAAGTGTAAACCGGAGATATGCATCTTCGACGAAGGCCACGTCCTAAAGAACGCAAACACGATTCGTTATAAGAGCTTGATGCGCATTGCGACACGTTGCAGGATTTTGCTCACAGGTACACCACTGCAAAACAGTCTGCAAGAGCTCATGTCCATCCTGGGATTCCTCATGCCTACGGTCTTCCACAGCAAGAAGGAAGACGACGGGGACAATGTCCAAGAGATGTTGCAGATACTCTTCAAGCACAAGGCCAAGGTTACGGAGAGCGACTCCCACAGCTCTCTGCTATCTGCCCAGCGGATCCAGCGTGCGCGCACCATGTTGACCCCGTTCATTCTCCGACGAAAGAAGGCCCAAGTCCTGAAGCATCTGCCCAAGAAGACCTCTCGAGTGGAGTATTGCGAGCTTACGCCGACGCAGTCTACTCTGTACAACGAGCAGCTCGCAAAGCAGCGCAAGATTCTCGAAGATCGCGCCGCTGGACTACTGGTCAAAGATCATGCAAACGTCATGATGAAACTTCGCCAGGCTGCTATCCACCCGCTTCTCTTCCGCCACCGCTACAACGACACCAAGATCAAGGCCATGTCAAAGGCGTGTCTGAGGGAAGACATGTTCGCCGAGTCCAACGCAGACATCATCTACGAGGAGCTTCAGCTGTACCAAGACTACCAATGTCACCAGCTTGCGACCAAGTACAAGGCGCTCAAGAAGTTTGAACTCAAGAATCACGAGTGGATGGACTCTGGCAAAGTCACCGCCCTGCTCGCTCTCCTCAAAAAGTACAAGGAGAATGGGGACCGAGCGCTAGTGTTTTCGCAATTCACGTCTGTCATGGATATTCTCGGCTGGGTCTTTGATGACCACGACATCAACTTTATGCGCATGGATGGCAGCACACCCATTGCAGAGCGACAGAGCCTGATGGATGTGTTTTACTCGGACACCTCTATTGAACTCTTCATGATCAGTACCAAGTCCGGAGGTGCAGGTATCAACCTCGCGTGCGCAAACAAAGTCATCATCTTCGACTCGTCATTCAATCCGCAGGACGACATCCAAGCCGAGAACCGCGCGCATCGCGTTGGTCAAACACGGGAAGTGGAAGTCGTGCGCCTGGTCACCAAGGGCACGGTGGAAGAGCAGATTTACGCGCTGGGCGTGAGCAAGTTGGAACTGGACAAGATGGTGCAGGGTGAGGAGGCGGAGAGCACTGCTGGAAAGGGTAAGAAGAAGGCAGATGCTGATGCGAGCATCAGTAAAGCAGAGGAAGCAGGTATCGTAGGCCCGAAAACAGATGTTGCTCGCACAGATGACTGCACCAGTCGAGACGAAGGAGGAGGTCAAAGTAGACAAGACTGGAGATGTCAAAGAGCAGTTTCTGAATGGCTTGAAAAAGGCAGGGTTGGATGTCGCTGCTTAAAGGGAATTGACCGTTCTCTTGCTATTTGGGTCTTGGTATGTGAGAAGTTTGACAAGGGAGAAGGAAATGTTGGTTGATAGATTTGATATGCATAGCATAGCGTCGGCGTTGAGTGAGGGTTAGATACAACCACGTATGACGGAAGCCTTTGCAAGTAATCTGACCCGTGTCAAGGCCATGGGTTAATAATGAAACCCGTACTGCCACCATTACATTACACATCTAATCCGCCCCGTCTCTGGTATCAATACCACCATATGCATATCCTGTCATTCCAAGACCGAACTCCCAGAAAGAGGCGTGATTAAAATCCCATCTCATCCGATACTACACAAAACCAGACCACCCACTCCACAACATCTGCAGAAACACATAGCCATGCCAGCGCCGGCGCAAACACACCGTGGCTGGATAGGTGCCTAGTCCAAGCTCAGCCCACACTCTTGGCACCACTCCAACCAGCCAGCCAACCAGCCACGTGACCACCACCAGCCACGCGCTCATGCATGCAACCCCATCGCCATCGCTATTCCCATCCTCCATCCCAGCCATCTCCCCTTCACCACAATATCCCAACCATCCGCGCCTAAAATACTCCTGCCACCGCACTAGAATAATTCTGTCAAGAAAAAGGCTAAACGGAGATAGTCCTGATACCTTCCCGCCGACCCGCAACGGAAAAGATGGCCACACGACGCGTTGTTGGCGAGAAGAATGGGGTCGATGAGGGACGGGGTGGTGGTGGTGTTGGTGGTCAGATGGAGGGGTCGGATACGACGCCGGCGGTGCCTATGTATGTGGTTTTTTTTTCTTTTTTGGGGTTGTTGTTGTTTTATGGGTGGAGGGGATGTTTGGATGGACGTTGAGAAGGGGAAGGGGGTGTGGGAGAGGAGCGGGGGAGAGTGAAAAGAGAAGAGAAGAAATGAAAGCTAACAAGGTGCAATTAGGTCTGTGGTTTGGAAACTCATGTCTTTTACATTTGCAATGATTTGTCTACCTATTGGGACGTATTTCTTCACAGCGGCATACGTGTTTAAAGGTATGATGAATCTTTTTTTCTTCCCATGCTGCCTCCATTTTCATTTTTGCTGTTTTGTCATAAAAGTATGGGATGGGTATATACATGTACGTATGGCTATACCCATACCCATACCCATATTCACATATCAACCCCATCCCCCACCCACAACCAACCCACCAACAAGACCAAAAACAACAGGCAACGCAACCTACGCGGGGGGACTGGCAGCGCTCATGGCCAATGTGGTGCTGATTGCATATGTGGTCATGGCGTTTAGGGATGATCAGGAGGAGAGGAGGTTGGATGATGAGGCGGCGAAGAAGAAGATGTGAGGGGTCTCTTTTGGAGGGAGAGGAAGATGAGAAGATGAAAGAGGGAATCAGTACGGAAAAGGAATGGGAAAAGGGTTGTAAGTCACTATAAGAATTAGTAGATGGACTGTCTGGATGGTAGGTAGGATTTCGTTGTATGTTACCTTGTGGTTGCAAACCATGATGTATACTATACATCATCATACTACGCACTATTCATCGAACACACTGCACAAGAAGCGCGTCAATGTCGTGTATTCAATCGTCCCACGTCTCAAACTTCCTTTTCATTACCATTATCATTCTACCTCGTCTGCACTATGCTATCCCATCGAGTTCAGCCAGATACCCAACTGCCCCCGTTGGCTATATCGCTGCCGCCACCGCCACCGCCACCGCTGCCATTACCACTACAATAACCAACGAATAAAAGAATGGACGCAAGCAAGCGCTCGAAAAAAGCCAGCGTGCCTCGTGTCGATGAAATGTAGCATCTGCTAACCGGCGAGCCATTCCATCCAAACAAGCTAACCGGCTACTCGCCCTCTCAGCCATCCGTCAAATCCTCCCTGTGCCTCACATCTGCCCATACCAAGCACAACGAGAAATAAATGAAGGACCCTAAAAAAGAACGCCCAATTAATAAAGCCAAAAAGATCGTTTCAAGCGACGAAGATGAAAATCGTGGAAAAGATGGAATAGCAATGATAAAAAGAGGATCCCCAATGGCATCATAGCAGCAAAAAATAAGACTCCCAATCATGTCATAAGCAATACAACCAAAAACCAGGTAGCACAATCGGGTTGTCTCGCGATCAACAAAAATTCCTCATCGTCGTGATTCTCGTTGCAATCGCCATAGCCATCGCCGTCATCATGGATCATGACATAAAACCACGACCGGCAACCTGTCCTTCTCTTCTTCGTCTCCAATGGCCAATAAAAATCAAAGCTCGCGCTCGCGCCCACGGTGTAACTCATTCAAAAAGCCAAACTCTTCTTCGATGCCTTCATGATCCTCATGACTGGGACTGATTACAACCACGCATCCCAACCATTCTTCCAAAAAAAAACTCTGCTGAGATCCTAATCTTTGCTAAAGCGCTTCTTGAACCAACTCTTTCTCTTGTCGTCTGATTTCTTCGACGCAAGCGGTGGTCGATGGGCGCCCGCGTCTGGCGGCCCCGAATTACCCAATTTGATAGGCGCCGACGGTGTGGCATGTTTCGGTGGCGGTGGCGGCACACCTTGATTCTGCTGTTGTGAAGGAAAGTATGGACCCTGTTGCTGAGACGGACCCTGCTGTCCATACTCCTCCCTTATCGGTCCCCGGTTGAAGCTGCTATATCCAAATGGGTCGCCCATGTCGTGTTGCGGGGGTCGCACGGGAACACCACGCTCAATCGAACTGTTATCGCTACTAGGTTCGTTGGAGTGAGGACCGTCGCTGTGGCTGCCGTTGGAGCCGTTCGTGTTGACTGTATCGCGGGATTGTTGGTAGCCGTTTTGCGGGTAGACATTGTTCGCTCCGCCACGATTCCACCCAGGATCGGATTGCATCCGGTTTCCGTAGCGCATTCGTTGGTAGCCGCCGACGGGGCCGCCAGCGCCGTAGGCATCGTAGCTGTCGCGGCCGGACTGGCGGTTGTACGGGGAGTTGTTGGCTTGAGAATAGCGGTTCTGCTCGTGGCCGCCATAGTAGCTGTTTCGTCGGCTGCCGTAGGCGCTCATGACCTCGCTCTGATCACCGCGTGTGGTTTGGACGCGGCGTTTGTATTCGCCGTCAATGGCGGCTTCGAAGGAGCGGATGGTGTCGAGGGGACGTTCCCATCTTGAGCGAGTGGGATTGGAGAGATCTGGGTCGACTGGAGGGTGTTAGAGGCGTGGTCATGCATCGTGCGTGGTTCGACAGGCGACATGACAACAACATGAACGACGATCATGGCGACAACAGCCAACTCAGGAGGGAAGCAGCAACTCACCAATGGGATTTCCTGTAGAATCAGTGTGCTGGAACGAGCGAAGCGACTGAAGCGTGGGCTTTTCGAGGGCAGCGGCGACTGCATCCAAAGTCAGCAAAGGCCAGTCGGTGTACACAAGCACGGAATGCATGCACGCAGCAGGGGAAGAACAAGAAGGAGATGGAGAAGAAGAAACGTACTGGGCTGAATCTCATTCATGGCGGCGTTGGGATTGGCTTTGGTGTTGGGGTCGTAATGGGTCTTGCGCTTCTCGCCCTCGCTGATTTTGCGCTCGTGTTTGGAGCTCTTGTCGCTGTGGAAGCTGAAGGCGCTGGACTTTGCGCGCGGACGAGACGCGCTGGCCGGCGGCTGGGCTGGCGGCTGTTCTGTGGCGGGCGACATGGCTGCTGGTGCAAAGAAGCCCAGTTTTATTGTGCAATGTCCAGGTCGATCGGGTCCTGGCGAGCTTCTAACGCAGGAGCTGTGACTGCGGTGAGGCTGGTGTGACGGGTATTGCGGAGTCGGGACAGGCTGCCCGGTGGATCACGGCGCGTAGCGAGATTAGGTAGAGATATAAGGCTGGATGCAAGACAGGGCGTCGTGCAGCAGCGATAATGTAATGTGATGTAAGTGACAGTTGTTTGTATGTATGTAAGTGTGTGTGTGTGTGTGTGTGAGTGAGAGAGAGAGAGAGGGAGGGGGGCAGAGAAAGAGAGAGAGAAAGAGAGAGAGAGGTGTTAGCAGCAGCAACGATGGCAACAGCAGTAACAGCAAAAGAAGATGATGGGCACAAGTAGACGGTGGAACGAGGATGGGGAGGCCGGTGGCCGGTGGCCGGAAGCCGGTAAGGCAGTCTTCCAACTATGGTAGAGTCCAGTGCCAAGTGTGAATGACAACAGCAAGCGATTGGCACACATGCACACACATAGTCATAGATATACTGCCGCCCATACCTAGTCACACAGCCACAGGAAAAGAAGGCGGCAGACCGACATGGCAACACGTCTGACGACGACGACGACGACGACGACGACGACGACGACGCACGCCCAGAGCCCAAAAAAGTACGCGCGGATGTTGAAGCTTGTTGAGCATCCGGTCTCGCCGAGCAGCCAATGGGCCAATTGAGGCTACAAGCACATGCTTGACCATGGAAACCAGCCAGTATCGTGCTATTGCCAACTAATGTCTGACTATTCCTGGCTATTGACAGCTGCCCTGTTACGCCTATTACAGACTATCACGGTGTATGCTAGTACCGTATGCATGCGCCATCGCGGCTATCCCTGACTAGCAGCAATGCTATACCTACTCTATACGCTCAATCGATACGCCCGACGACTTCCTTTTGGTAGGATACACTTACTCTTGTGACTTGTGGACATGCTAGCCTGATCTTGATTCCTCACATTTCTTCACTCATCTTCTGCCAAGTCGTGATGCGGCCTTGGATTCGCAGCATCGCAGCATGACGGCCCTTTTTATTTTTCTCTTCTGAGCGCTACCCTCTTGAGGCAATTTTTTTTTCATACGAGCCACATAAAAGGCAAACCTAATTTGGGACGCCTGGTCTATATAACAAGTACGCTGGGAGTGGCCATGGGATGGTACCAAAACAACTTCTACACACATCATCACTTACTCAGCTATTGCAACCCTACACTTATCTTTCAAGAAGGAACAACTCCCCTCTTGCCTTGAACGACAACGCAAACATGGTCCAGCTATCGACAGTCCTCTACGGTGCCTTGTTGGCTCCGCAAGCCATGGCCCAAGAGACCACCAGAATCGCTGTCTGGGACTCAAGAAACTTAGTTCTCATCACAAAACTAGCTCAATTACTGACATAGATTTGGAGAACTGGCACCCAAATATTTTGCGCACACTCCACGTGTAAGTCTACTACTAAATCATGACCCAGTGACCCCGACTGCACTGGTACCGCCAGCGTGGACGTTCGACCACCCGGCGCAGGCCTTAAAGACACGATGTCGGACAACATGCTCTTCTCGGCAAAATGTGCCATTACATTGTAAGATGGATCTATCATGCATGCTATGCTAGTGCTGGTTCCAAGTGTCCGTCTTCGTCATCATCATCAACTCATCAACTACTACCCCATGCACCTACCACTATGTAGCCTCTTAGCATAGTAGTAGAGTAGACTATTTTGAGATATCCTGCTACTTCAATGACACCTCCGTGGAAGCATTTCGCATCATTCGACTACCCATTTCCACAGTCCATGGTTCAATAGTCTGCCATCCGCGTTGGGCTACCGGTATACCCAGCGCAGTGATTCTCCATTCCTCCATTCCTCGCCCCACAGCCCACCCCTCCCCCATCCCCACTCCCAGCCTCCACAGCAACCGCAACTGCAGCGAGCAAACAAGCCGTCAGCAGCCCCATGGTGCGTGTAAGCTGAGATGGAAAATCTTCTTGGCACGGCTGTTCATTTACACCGCAACTTTGTTTCATGTACCCGTACCGGTACCGGTTCCCCCAACTCAATGCGGGCAGGGGCTTAGGTACTGCATCAGCTTCCTGAACAAGGCAGGTTTTCGTAAAGCGGATTTTCGATTTGCTATCGTATGCTATCTGGTGCCCATGGTAGAGTACCGTAGGGTTTCCGTGCACACAAGTCGGTAGTGCGTGGATCATTGTGATTTGCCACCAGCCACAACCAAGCCATTTTTGTGAGTGATGTCTGCAATTCCTGCGCCGACGAGTTGCTGTATCCTGTAGACATCATTCTGACTGTATGGTTTTGATGCCTTGAACTATCATCATTTGCAACAATCACCTTCCCAGTCTTGCAAATCAATTGGAAAATGGCATGTAATGAGGAATTTACTATCTTTTGTAGTGGACGTACACAAATTGCATTTTGGCACGTCTCATCCGCATGGCATTTCTCAGGTGAACAAGTTCCGATGGCGTCGCAAGACAATGGGCTTGCTAGTGTTACTGCATCCAGACGTTGAATCAAATCTTTACTTACTCCCATACCCTGTCTAATACAAGTGCCTACAGTTCTGCATTCTTGTGCCACAGTAAGCACAGGGAGAAGAAACATTGCAAAGGATAGCTTCATGATTGATATTGTGAACGCTTGTAGGTAATTGAACTTTGAAAGATGTCAGTGCTGAAATCTGTGTTGATTGTGGTGGTGAGATGAAGGAAGAGGGCAGAAAACAAAGGATTTATATACGACTGACTGACTCAAACTACGTCAACATGTACTGCACATACGGTGTCACCCAGTCCGTCCTCAGTCTTGCTCCTCACGCTCACTCCGCACCTTCGGGCCAGTATAGGCTTGGCCTCAGTCAGCCATACACCGTACTTTTGGCCACTGCTCATTCATCGTTATGCTGTTCCGACTGGGCCGCATTGAACCGAGGGATATCAGAATCCCATTATATTATGCCGCATTGGCTTTTTAATCTACCAGCCCACGTAATGTAATAACAAAGGTATAGTCTCCCCTGGTACACTTACGCAACCACGGGGAGCGCACTTCTGAGCACTCAACCATTGATCTCTCCAGCGACCCGGTTCACGATCAGGCCGAGGATAACTTCCAATATGCTTGCCTGTTGCAAACCCACTCGCCTGCTAAGCCTTTTATCTTACGGTCTAGCCCTGCTTACAAAGTTGTAAACACTACACTCACTTTTACACTTTAAACATACCGGCCGGCGGTTCTTCTTTAGTTGCACCACCACGACGATCAATCATATCATACAATTCCATCTACAGCTTGACAGCACTGTAGGTGTTGAACCGTTGACCTGTTGTATAACAAGCACAAGGAGAAGAAGCACTAGATTCACCAAAGGACAGTCGAATTTTCACTGCCAGCGCTGATGATTGAACTCCTAAGGATTTGAGATGGTGAGTCAGAATGAGTGATATTTGCCAAAGTAAATTCAGGTAGTGAGACAAACAAGAAGGGTAGAAACAGGATATTTATGTACAAGAGTCTCAAACTTGTCGAGGCAGTACGTAGGTAGGTCCTGCGTGGTCCTGAAACTCCTGCTCACTTGGCACATTCGGGCTCATACGTGCTTGTCTAGATATCGTACGCCTTGGTCGTGGCCCATATCTTATATCCATGTGCCTATTTACGGCAAAATTGAACCCAGCAGTGATAGGTATCTCCGCCGCCACCCTTTTAGTCTGTTAGACTACTGGTATGTGATTACAATCTTTCTTAGTGCACTTACGCAACTACCTCTTCTGCAAAACTCACCATCTGCGCAATGTTGAACTTAAAGTTGAAATTAGATTAATGCTCTGCCGAAGAGGGCTCTTGCGACTGATCACTGTAGAGGTAGATCAAGGTAGTGAGACTGACAAGTATTAAAAGGTGACGTTAGAAACAAGATATTTATACCTGTGCAGTCTTGAACAATCTAAAACTTCATGTACCTAGGTCCTGCTTAATTCTGAGGGTCACACTTACTCTGTACAGTTGCACATTTAGGGTAATAAAGTTAAATTTAGACTTCTTGGCTACTGCTTAATCTTAAAGCTTGCATTTACTTACACTACACAATGACACATGTAGGCCAATAAGGTTAGCTTACACTTTTTGGCCACGACTTAGTCCTAAAGCTTACACTCTCTTACACCGTACGGTATTACTTCAGGCCAATAAGGTTAGCTAAGCTTTGTACTCTTTAGCCTCTGCTAGTCTAGAAATAAATGATATAAAAAATTTCATGAACAGAATATACCCATTCTTCCTATGCGCATGTTGTTTAACAAATCTTTAGACTTGAGAGATTGATCCATGATAGTCAAACTTACTTATGGTGGATATCATACCGATAGGCCAAGGTTGATTCATTTTATCGTGTCTAAAATGAAAGTTTATGGTCAATACGGTAAGCTCTAATATGACATGCAAGCCAAGAAGCTTCGCCATGTACTTTTGGCCACTGCTCAATCCTGCAACTCACGTTCCCCCACACCATTTCATTCGCAACAATTTGTCCAGCAAGTGAACATTTGTCCGGTTAGACCAGGGCTTTTCTGTTTGTCTGGGACCTTTCTTTGTGAGACTGTGCAATTACGATTTCATTTTAGTGCACTTACGCAGCCGCCATCAGAGCATGTATACCCCGATCAAGATAGTGAGACTGATGAGTATTAGTATTACAATGTACCATTGGTAATCAAGACATTTGTACCTGTGCAGCCTTAATCGCTTTGACATATTTTGTGCCTACACAGTAGATAGGTTTTGCTTAATCCTAAATCTTACACGCCGTACGCTAGGATTTTAGGCCCTAGTAAGATCAGCTTCATCTTTTTTTTTAAATCACTACTTAATCCCAAAGCTTACGCTCACTTACAGTAGCAGATTCAGGTCAAGTAGCTTCACCATATATTTTCGGTCACTACTCAATCCTGAAACTCGCGGCTCACTTGGCACATTCGGCCCAATAAGCTCAGCTCCATACTTCTCGGCCACACTGTGGTCTTGTACCGGTGACGGTATATGCCGATCTATCATACAGCGTCAGACAGAGAGCGGTGAATAGATACCGTGTACACGCATGCGTACTCGATCGATGTGCACACGCGCATGGGAAGATGACAATGATCAATCCAACAAGACTGGCCGGAACCACTCCGACGTCGAGATGAACCGACGGGAAGCAAGATAATAATAGGTAACGGTGGCAAATAGCAATTGGGATTGAAAAAAGTCAATCGCGATCCCATTAGACATGCACACATAATCGCACTACACAGTACTTCACACCGTCTTGCCGGCCACTCTAAAGCAGCATTCATTTCTACAACCAGTTCGCACGCCAGCATCGTCATCACCCCACAATCACCTCACAGTAAACAGAAGTAGTACCGCACCCGTACTATTACATCCATCCATCAAAATCATTCATGTGTAACCCCCCCATAACTCCCAGCCCCGTATATTCCTTTACCTCGCAGCTTGCATGCCAATCCCCGCCCTCCCACACACACGGAAACCCAGGCAACGCAACGTCAATCCTCGGAACCAGCCTTCCGCTCTTCCGCGTTCGTGCACCCGCTCGAATTACCGTAGCTCAATGTACGGTACCGGTAGGTGCCGTCTAACAATAGGCATGCAAATCAAGAAAAAAAAGTCGGGATTTGATAACTAGCAAAGTTTCGTTTTTGCATACCAGACCAGGACGGATGCGGAAAATGTGCGGAAATTGTTGTGGCGATGCTATAGACTGGTTTAGACGGGGAACGGGAACGGGGGTACGGGGCCAGATGCAGTGTGTACGTATAGTGTGGTATGGTATACTCCTCGTATAGAGTAGTACTCATGCGCTCCGGTAGTTTGAGTATCATGTGATTTGCCACTGCTACATCCTGGCTATTTTGATGGCACAAGACAAGTAACGTGATCCTCAAACTAGCCGAGACAACTAGTAGGAGATCGGCCCTCTACGATGATCGCCATTTTGATCCCAATAGTACTACAGTACGCCACTCTACCAGTAAACCAACCGCCGCTCTCGGCTACTCCATGACTACACACGGTGTGGCAGTTATCATACTGTGGGGTGACGACGCTAGGGGTCGGAAGTTGGAGTCGCGATCGTGATCGTAAGATATAAGTACAAGGTCAATATTGTAATCACGATTGCGATGGCAGCGGATGGGCTTTTACACAAGCGCGTTGTGGTACTTGTCTGATTTATGATGGATAACCCAAACCCTATGCCTCTTATCCAGTGCACACCGCGCATAATCTGGTGTACAACAACACTACCGTACCCTCTATTCTAGCCAAAAAAAAAGGTGTAGGTAGATTACGGTACAAAACTTTTTGTACCGGTATATGCAGTTTAAACGCCTCTTGCTCCTCTTCTCTCCCCCTACCATACACAATGCCACAACTGCCATCGTTGCTGCATGATACATCACACAGTACAAACACCCAACACCACATAGCCCAGTACACAGCCCAACACAGCTGGCAAACCACCCAAGCTCAAGTCCAAGTCCCAACCTCCTTCAACTTCCATACGGTCTGATCCAACCCATCCCAATCCCCATTTTAACCCCCCAAGCACAAACTCCCTATCCCCCAAAGCCCCCCCAATCCACATCCACCCCTTAAGCAACTAACAAGCAACTAGCAAGCCAAGCTCCTTCCAAGCCTGAAAAATGAAGCGTGATTTCGCCGCATAAGTAGCTGTACAGCTGGGCTAGAGACCAAGACCAAGACCAAGACCAAGACCAAGACCAAGACCAAAAGCAAGGCCAAGGACTCAAAAAGCCTGCTAAACATACCGGTACACTCCGCTATTATATTTACAGCTGCGGATATTAACCCTAGTATCGTATGTTTCAATATAAAATCCTAAATCTTCTATCCTGTATCTAAATCCCCATTCCATCCGCATACCTAACACCCCCCCCCCCCTCCCCCACCAAGGAAAAGGTCACAGAATACGAGATAGTTTGAGGTGAGGAAAAGCGATCGAATAAGTCACAATGTCATCAAGTATTCCCATAGGCTAAGATAAATGTTCTCATTCCCGTAATGCTTTTTTTCATGTGCGTTAGATACATGGAGAAGATACAACACAACACGACACGCTATACAACACCAACCACCTAACCACGCTACCCAGACCAACATCCAACTCGATCCGTCGCGACCCCAACACCCCCCTAACTATGCGTCGGCATATTCACCGCCGCCCTCGTCGCCACCGCATCCTCGCTCCGCCACAAACTTGTCACCGTCTTCTGCTGCGTGTAAAACTGCAGCCCAGGCTTGCCGTAAAACGTGTTTGCGCCACCGCCCGCAACCGACTTCTTATTACCTGTGAAGGAGAACATGGGGAGCTGGCATGACGTGTTAGCCTGGCTGCGTGGGGAGGAACCATGGATTTATGAATCGTGGGGTGCTGTCAAAAGAAAAAGGGTCCAAAACTTACAGGGACGGGAATGGGCACGTTGATGCCGACCTGGCCGGCCTCGATCTCGTGCTGGAAGCGGCCGGCGGTGGAGCCAGAGCGGGTGAAGATGGCGGTGCCGTTGCCGTACTCGTTTGCATTGATGAGGTCGATGGCTTCGTCAATGGTGTCGACATTGAGGCAGACGAGGACGGGGCCGAAGATTTCCTCGGTGTAGCACTTCATGTGTGGCTTGACGTTTGCAATAATCGTTGGTCCGACCTGGTTTTCCCCCCCTGTCAGTAGGAGAGCGTGGCGGGACTGTGTCTATCCATCAACTCACCCAGTTGCCATTGGCATACTTCTTGTTCGCAGGCTTCTGCCCACGTCCATCAAGGAGGATGGTCGCGCCCTCGGCCTCCGCACTGGCAATCAAGTCCTCTATCCGCTTCTTCGACTGAGGTGTAATCACCGGGCCTAGGTCTGCGCCCTCTTCAAACCCACCGTTCATCGACAGCTGCTTTGCGCGCTCGGCAATCTCAGGGACCCAGTCCTTGGTCTCGCCAATCATGACCAGGGTGCTGAGAGCCATGCAACGCTGTCCGGCAGCACCAAACGCAGCTCCAGCAATAGCGTTCAAAGCGTGGTTCTTGTTGCAGTCGGGAAGCACAGCGGCGTGATTCTTCGCACCCAGATTAGCCTGGCAACGCTTCCCGTTCGCCGAGGCACGCGAGTAAATGTACTCTCCAGCCTTGTTGCTACCCACGAAGCTAATAGCCTTGATGCGGGGCTCGTCGAGAATAAAGTCGACCGTCTTTGCGGCGCCGTGAACAATGTTGATGACACCAGGAGGGAACCCAGCCTTTTCGGCGAGCTCAGCAAGGATCATGCATGCTCCAGGATCGCGCTCCGACGGCTTGATGATACAGGTGTTTCCCGTCACAGTCGCAATCGGGATGGTCCAGAGGGGGATCATGGCGGGGAAGTCTGGGGGATAGGTGGGTTAGTTGCGCCGCTCAGCCATGCTGCTCATCAACACTCACTGAA